ATGTGGATGCGCAACCCGAAGAAGAGCAAGGTGCAGAAGGCCCTGATCCCAGGCATGCAATTCGTGAAGGATTTGTCACGCAGCTTCAGGACTATGTTGGCGTACTCGCTCAGGGCGAGATGTCAGTCGGAAGCGATCGCATCACATTCTGTGTTGCTTGTGGCAGTGACCTACACACTCTGTCAAATTGCACAGAGAATGCTGCAACCCGGGACCTGGTACTTCGAGGCGTCCAGATCATCAAGGAAAGTCTTCTTCGATATCCACGTCGAGTACCTACACAAGAGGCTGAGCCAATGGACGTTGACACCACAGATCATGTGAGTGTTGCATCCTCGGACCGACGACCCAAGGCCAAAGCCCGACCGCGACGCGGAGGCGAAGCCGTACGGGGTGATGTGGTCTTGATCCGTTATGAGAACAAACACAATCTCTGCACGGATGTGGAGAACCGTCGGGGCCTAAATGATGCTTGTGGCGTACCACTGCAGGAATCGGGACCAGAGAATAGCCAGCGAGTGGTGGACATCATTGAGCAGCTTTCGGACCATCGCGACCGACGCCTACCTCAACGAGGAGACCGTCCTAGCTTTGCTTACGATGAAAACACTCATAGCTACACCAATCCAGGCTATGAATCCATCGGCGGCGGAAGGCCAATCCGGTGCGGGATTCTCGACCTGATCCCAACCAAGGGTGCAAGCTTCATCAACAATCGGTGGGACATCGTGAACGAAGTTGTCCTTCGCAACATCACCCGTCAGCGCAGATTGAACGCGGATTGGGCGCTATCATGCATCCAGTCTGACTTGCGCCACAGAATCGCCAGGCGCCCAGGCTCGGAATGGCTTGACAACAGGTGCCAGGTGGCATTCAACAGTGTCATCAAATGTGATGAAGGAGGATGGGTGATGATCGAAGACTTGGTGAGGCATGAGCCACTATGGACCCATGAAAGCAGACGCATCACCGAAGGGGTCTCAAGGACCGATGACCAACAGAAGAAGAGAGTGTACAATGAAAGACTTCAGCTATTGTTCCAGGGGAACATGATTGCAGCCACGAAACGCAACAAGGCCAAGATTCGGTTGCAGTTCCTGGGTGTGAGAGTGAAGGACCCCGGCACGGAAGTTCTTGGATCAGCAGGTTCGAACATGTTGGTATCAGTTCGGGACCAGATCACGGAGATCCAGAACAACGACCATTGCCGGCATGGCCAGAGGTACCTGAACCTATGCAACGGCTGGGTGAAGCCATGGGCAGTTCGGGCTACGAGTGGTCACTCTGCGCATTCAGATCCCCAGAACAACTTGCTTCAGTTGGACAAGAACAGGTTCGCAATATCTCCATCTATGACCCTCTTGCAACGTCTTGGAGGTGCGTTCCACGCTACGGCATGCCGCAACTTGGATTCCATTGTCACGCAAGGCATCATGCCTGGTTCGGAGGACCCCGACGGGGACTTCGACCATAGGCGCCAATTCCGAGGCAACCAAGGCGGCAGACTCCACAGCTATTGGGGGGTGTTTGCGCCGTTCGATCACCGGAACGCAACGACCAAGATGCGAGTACACGGACGAGACGCCAAGCACATGCCATTGGCGGTCCTTCATGTCCCATCGCAAGATCTTGCACGAGAAGATGGACGTATCACAGACAGCGGCATCATGATCGTTGGTCGAACGATACCTTTCCATTTCGTCAAGGAGGTATGGTTTTGCGTCCCTGATCCTCGAGATACACACTCTTTCGCTCTGGTGGAAAAGATCTACGATGAAAGGTTGGAGAAAGAGCTGGTGTTGGACTACAATGCATCACCGTTGCTTCCCGAGTTCGAGAGATACCGAACGCCAAGCAAGATCATGGAATTGCTTTGCGAGATGCCTCCTGGACCCCACGACACAAGCAAGGAGCAGATCATTCGTGACCTCACGACTGTCCTGGAGTCCCACAGGGAGAACACGGTTCGGCATCACTACATGGACAAAGGAATCAAGTTTGTCATCAAGAATTGGCGACCCGAAGACCTACGCAGAGACGAGGATGGACGGAGAATGAGGGTATGCCCGGCATGCTACAACATCGTTCCAGCATGTTTCTCCCGATGCACGTCTTGCTGGTCACAGTTCGTTTCGAGCGGATATTACCAAGGTTCTCCACAACGGGAGACTCCTACGGAGATCCCCAGTGACTTCATTGCTCAGACAATGGAAGCCGCAGCAGCCGCAGTGCCTGAGGCGCCCGAAGAGGAGCAGGAAGCCATGGAGGTAGAGACCGTTGCGGAACCTGAAGAAATCCCAGAACCATCTGTCATCGCGGAAGACGATCCAGAACAGGAACCTGATGAAGAAATGGACGTCGAGCCTGGAGAGGACTTTGATGACGCAGTTCCAGAAGCAATCGCACAGGAACGTCGTCCCGTCTTCATTACCGGCCAGTCTTTGAACATCGATCCTGAGCTACAACTTGCACGTACCGCCATGCAGCCATCTTACTATTCTGGAAAGCGAAATGCCCATTGCATTGACGCGAACATGACCGCTCTGTCGTACATGGCATACGTGGTATGCAGATCCATCTACAAAGCTTGGTCAGGATTCGCAAAGTGGGCGACTATGCCGTTGTTTCAGATGAGGGAAAGTTTCGCACTTGGCCAACGCTATGATGTGCTTGGAAAGTGGGGATCTTTGGCGGCAGTGGATAGGGAAACGGGTGTGAGCAGGGACGTGACTGATGAGGAGATCATTCGCTTTGCAAAGGAACCTGAGAACCTCAAACAGTATGATCCCAACGGGACTTACACCTTGAAGCGCTTCCGGACGAACCAGATGCTTTCTTTACTTGTACGGGGAGCCAACATGATGGGAATTGGCAGGGACAACTTCAACCCTACTACTTACTTGAAGAGCGACAGGGATGAAGATGTAAAGGCTATGCACTTTTGTTGCCTGAACGTCCTGTGCGAGGTGATTCCAATGGTGACGGGACACCAACAATTCTCAGTGCTACGACCAACGCCAACTGGACCAGTGGACTTCTTGTACATCGACCCCGTCGGTATTCTGCTGACTCATTCTGATCAGTCAGTCCAGACCATCGCCTTGCTGGTGGACCACAGTGTGCAAATGCCTGCGCATTTCATGGACAGATTGAACAGATCCAAAACTGAGAGACAGCAAAACCCGACGACAAAGCGTACGGAAGCCCTACACCACATTTCGGCCGCTGACTATCTTCCTCCAGGTGGTACATCCATCCTGGACACGCCTGTCACTACGGAGGAACGTGAAAGCGCTTCTTCATCCAAGGGACCTTCAAAAGGGCGTGGAAGAACCGGAGGCGAGCAACATGGTGGCTGGAACACCAATTCCTACCACGACTACATCGCCGCCAAAGGCCGAAACAAAGGCAAGGACAAGGGAAAGCCAAGGAACCAGTATCCAGAGGAGAACCTCCGGCCCTGGGACCGCGATCCTACGTCAACGCGAAGATGGTGGCGAGACAACGCCTGATCTTCCTCGCCTATCAGTTCGTGACCTCTGAGCTTCGCCCGTGGAATGCCATCGCGAATGCTTCTTTCTTCGGTGACGCCTGATTCGTTTGTCATTTCAGGGGATCGTTACTGACGTAGATGAGTGTCACAACGTTTCTAATTGGGATACAAAGCTCTGATTTTCAAAGTCAACGTTGCGGCGGAATTTTCTTCTGTCCTATCGTGCCATCTTCCGGGTGAGCAGCGTCGGAGACGCAACTCATGGGGGGTGCGAACGGACTGCGATGCCTTGTCAAGTTCTAAGGTGTCACTATAAGAGCTGTGAGCAAGACCGTGTAAAGTGCAAGAGAAGGGGGCACGCTACGCGTCCCTCGACTCTAGGGGGCATGCTACGCATCCCTCATCTTTACCTTTCTATGTGACCGCCAACGCAACGTTTGGCTCAAGTCAATGCCCATAGCTAAGTGCTATATGTGTCTTCTATCCTGAGCAATCAGAGCTATCCCGTTGCACAGACGAACCGCCGCCGGCAGTGAGTGCAAAAGGAACGGCCGCCGGTTCTGCCTGCATAGGATTGCACGTGTGGAAGTAAGAGGGAGAGACAGGGTCCAGTCTGTGGAGAGCGCTAGCCAGCCACACCTACATTCATTACAGCTCTGGTGGGGAGAGCAGCAACCAAGTCGAGATCAATCCCCCACGCACCCTTAGTCGTAGTCGTAGTAGTCGTAGTAGTCGTAGTAGTCGTAGTAGGAGCAGCAGCAGCAGCGGTAGTGGTAGTGGTAGTGGTGGTAGGTAGTAGTAGTAGAAGAAGTAGTAGTAGCAGTTGTAGTAGTGGTAGTAGTAGATTGATGAAAGGGGGGGTGCCTACTACTAGTACTCCTTCTTCTTCTTCTACTACTACTACTACTACTGCTGCTATACTACTACGACTACAACTACAACAACAACAACTACTACTACTACTACTACTACTACTACTACTACTACTACTAGTGCTACTACTACTAAGGGTTTCGGCCGGAGACTCAGCCTGCAGATAGGGGCCTCTTCGTGCAATCGGAGGACTGTGCTTGGTAAGACTTTTTCTGCTTGGTCTTTGCACTTACCCTACAATCATCGGCTCTGTTTGCTCTGGTCAGCGCTGATCCCAAATCCGGCGGCCGGGCATGCCATCAGCTACTTTATCCGAAAAGCTGGCCCGGTAAACCCGAGGGTTCGGTCGAGTCCCGCTGCAGACCGAGGAGTTTCAGTTGCCACAGGCACTGAGGCGAAACTATCTGGAACACAGACAACGAACACGCCTTACAGTCGGACTCAGAAGCGATCTTTCAAGAGGGCGCAGAATGCAGCAGCAAGAGACGGATGGGTCAAATATCGGGGACGATGGCTCACAGCTTCAGATATGGGCGTGGCGAGGGTCGCCGCCCAGTCCTCTGCACAGGACCGACCACACCGCCATCCGCCGGCGCACCTCACTGGAGGCGCAGCTACCACGCGACTGCGAATCATGACGTACAACGTTGGCGGCATGGCTTCGGACCTATATGACGTTTTGTCACAGTGGCTCCAGAGCCAAACACAGGCGGACGTGATCTTCCTGCAGGAGCTCCACTGGGGATGTGGGCGCACAGAGGGCAGCTGGAAAATTGGAGGCTGGCAGGCAATCATCTCGGCAGATCCAAGTGATCGATACAGTGGGGTCGGCATCTGCATCCACCCCAACAATCGTGGCCACGTCTGAGATCACCCAAGTCGCCTGCATACCAGGACGAGTTCTTCACGTACAGTGCAAACAGAGGGAGAAGACACTGGATTTGGTCTCCGCTTACCAGTGGGTCTGGCAAGCTAACAAGCAGGCAGAGATCGAGGCCAAGCGACAGCGAGTCTGGACGGCACTTGGCAACCTGCTGCAGCGCCTCCCTCAGAGGCATCTTCTGATCATTGGAGCACATCTCAACTCCAATTGTTGCTCAATCCCGGGCCTGGTTGGACGTGGGCTCCTCAGACAGGCGTGGCAACATGCCGACCCGGAGCTTGCGGAACTCATGAAGGGAAATCGCTGGTCATGACCAACAGCTGGGGAAGCGCGTGGCCCATACACAGCCACACCTTCAGTAACGGGAACACCCGCTCCCAGCTCGACTTCATTTTGGTCAGGCGTGGAGTGGAAGATCGCCTCACGAAGGAGGCGGGACACATCGATCTGGACCTGGCCCCATGGCGTCGTGGGCCCAAGTCACGACGGTTCCTTTTCTCGCAGGCTGGTGTTTTGCAAATAAGATGCGCAAACGCCAGGGACCAGAGTACTCCTTAAGGGATCTGAGACAGCACGTTGTTGACAACACCCCGCTTGCGCAAATGCTGAAGCAACAAGTTGACACGCTTGTCTGGAACGCTGACCCCAGCGCGGACCTGCAACAGCTTAATGCCCAAATCCTTAAGCTTTGCAAACAGTACTTCTACAACAACCCAGAAGCGTTAAGCTCCCTAGTCGTGACCCTGGAACCATTGACGCAATCGCACGCATGTCGCAGGCCCATGAGAATCTCCGGGCACCCAGACCAGTAGGACAGTTTGCGGAGGCTTCCGTAGCGGTGCACCGACAGCTTGCTTTCGAGGACGCACATAGGTCTGTAAAGCAATCTGGGAAGCGCGCTAGACGACAGTGGCTAGAATCTCAGATTGATCGGGCCGAGCTCGTGGCAAAAAGGCACGATCAAGCGGAGGTTTACAGAGTAGTCTTGGAGGACGCTTAAAGCCAATGAGCCACAAAAGCTTGATCGGCCCATGCGTACATCTCTTCTTGTGTGCTACTTTGGTGAACTTCGAGCTCGGCTTGAGGCGTGCCGACCAAGGCGACTGATGTCGAGAAGTTGGTGACGATGGGATGGCTGGCCCCTGGACCTCCAATGGCGTGGCCTTTTCTCACATGGGATGCTGTCACTCAGCGAACCGTTGTTGACACGGCGAAGGAGCCGCTTTCGCAGGCTGAGGTGTTGGAGGACATTGACATCTTGCTTCGAGGAAGCGGTCAGGGGAACAAGCCTCATCCCACTCGTCCTATGGCTGAGGAGATGAGAGGGGACAGCATTGTCTTCTTAATCCAAGTGAGTGCGGAAGGCGAGTCTGCGGCCAACATGCGCGCCAGTCTCAAAGCCCTTTGCCAAAATGCCTCCTTGCAGCTGGTCGCTATGCAGCTAAAAGCTGATCGTGCCAATCGTTCTACCCTGGCCACTTCGTTAGCTGCTGCGCTTCCTCGGAGCACATGAAAGTCACGAGCTTGAGGCCGCATTCGCCTTCTTCATCCGGGATGCGTTCCACTTTTGGCTAGATGCAATAGTCTTCTGGCTGTGTTGCCCGCTTGGCAGTTCGCTGCGGGGGTATTTCCGGATGGTGAGGCCAGCTGTGCTTCATCGTGAGTTTTGGCGTCATCTCAAGATGTGCAAACTGCAGTCACAGAGCTGGGCGATGAAAAGTCTTCTGGTGATTTGAAGTGGTTGCAGTGGCATGCAATGACATGCAGTGTGCCAGGGTGGTTTCTTCATTGCCTCCGTGGTCTTCATCCTGGCCTGCTCTAAATGGGCCCGTGCGGTTGGTCCTGTCCCTGGGGCCTGAACGTGATACCTGGCTGACCTGGCTGAGTGTGCACCTTAAGGCATCCTGATGCAGGCGTCTGATGTGCACGTGAAGTCGGTGTCTGGGCACTTGCATTGTGTGCACGTTTGATTAATGCCTGTACGCTGCCACAGTTTTGGTCAGGCCTTGTGGACGGGCGCAAGGCTTGTGATAGTGTGGTGGGCTGTGATTCCAGAAGCCCTTCATTGTGCATTGCCAATGACTTCAGATGAGTGTGTTCCTGATGGCGAGACGTCAACAGATGGTAACTCGATTGATTGGGAGCTGATAGCTGGCATGGATGCACCGGGGCCTCACTCATATGTTCTGGGTTGTGTGTACATGGTTAGTGCGCTGCCCATTACCTCGTACGAGGAGGACCTGAAGTATGAGTATGCCCAGCGCGAGACGTACTTGATTCGGGGTGTTAGCGTAGAAGGGTTCAATGTTCCGGACACTTGTCATTGCGAGGCGAGTGCATTTGGCATGATTTCCAGTGGTCAGGCGACTTGGGCGCAGCTTCTGCGCCTGATTAACCTGCTTCCGGTTGACTCTCGGGAGCGTTGGACTCAGGATCCCTCCGCCGAGTGTGCCCACCCTCCGAGGCGGTTCTCCATAAGTGCGTTCAACTCTGGCAACATGGCGGGCGTTCTGAAGCATTCTCGCGAATACCCGTGGGTTAGCAGGGCGCTTGCTGGGGTGGTTCGCACGTGGTGCCCGCAGATGCGATTCTCCTCGTGCACATTGTCACTCAATACATCGGCGATAGCAGAAACCTCCAAGGATCGTGCAATCTCTCGTTGCCATGTTCAACCTTCGCTGGAGGACAAATCTTTGTCGAGGACGAGGCGGGTTTTGACCCGGCTGTCGGACACTGGTCCATGTGGGCACCTACTTTCAGCTCGGGAAGCTGTTCAGTTTGAGCCGCATCGGATTCATGCCACATTGCCTTGGTCTGGAACGAGGCTTCTCTTGCTGGCATATCACATTGGTCAGCATCGCAGTCTTAAGCCCGAAGCAGTGCAGTATCTCCAGCAACAGGGTTTCAATCTTGTGCAGCCGTCGTGACTTTCTTCTGCTCAGCAGTGCAGTGCATACGGCAAGAGGTGCAAAAGATTGGCGACCATCGCATGGGCCAGCTGCTCTGCTCGCTTTCGGACGGTAGCCGTATACTAAGGTCATGCTGCATTGTGATGTGGTGGGGCGATTCTGCTGTGCATATGTGCTGCAACCTCGTCTCTTGTGAATGGCCTTGTGAATGGCACTGAGCTGGGCTAGGGCTTTTAGGATAGCCGTTTGTACTTCAACATGACTGATGTCTTCTGAATTCGACTGCATTTTGCACCTGTTAATGTTGCCTGCCGTGCGCTGGCCAGTATTCTTAGTGTAACTGCTGAGCTACGGCTCAAGTTGTCCAGCTCGCTTGGATCCGAGGATCGGGGCTGGCACTCTGAAGACTTTATTGGGATGTCTTAGACATCGCTGCTTCGGTAGCCGGGCTTAGCTCGCCGACCCGCTAGGTGGACCCCGGGCCGCGATTGGAAGGAAGGAAGTAGTAGTAGCAGTAGTAGTTGTAATAGTCGTAGAAGTAGTAGTAGTAGTAGTAGTAGTAGTAGTAGTAGTAGTAGTAGTAGTAGTAGTAGTAGTAGTAGTAGTAGTAGTAGTAGTACTAGTAGTACTAGTAGTACTAGTAGTACTAGTAGTACTAGTAGTACTAGTAGTACTAGTAGTACTAGTAGTACTAGTAGTAGTACTAGTAGTACTACTAGAACTAGTACTAGTAGTAGTAGTAGTGGTAGTAGTAGTAGCAGTAGTAGTAGTGGTAGTAGTAGTAGTGCCAATTGCAATAGCAGCAGCCGCAGCAGCAGCAGTAGCAGCAGCAGTATCAGTAGCAGGAGAAGTATCAGTAGAAGTAGAAGTAGAAGTAGCGATAGCAGTAGCAGCAGTAGCTGCAGCAGGTGAGCAGCAGTAGCAGTAGCAGTAGCAGCAGCAGGAGCAGGAGCAGGAGCAGGAGCGGGGTGTTTTCCCGGATGTGCATCAATCCTCAGTGTGAATCCGTCTTTGCTGTCTGTGAGCCTCTGCCCATGGTGAGCGAAAATCATCGAAAACCCTGCCGCACGACCGCTTGTCGTGCAGTATGTTCTCTCGATCGAACCGTTGTTTAACATCTCTGAGACGAACATATGACCCAAACTACAGTACTTGGTAAATTTCATTCCTCGGATGCTTGCTCGACAATCTGTGCAGCGAGAGGAGCTGCCGATGCGGTTCAGATTTCGGTGTCTTACCACTTCGATCAGGGCCACTCCCATGCCAGGCACGGGCCCTTGATGCATGCGACTGTCTCATGACGCAACATGGCGTGACACATTCTACTTCTACACGTGTTTCTATATTTGCTGATTTACATGGCCATGCAGTGATGCACAGGTTTGTTCCTGCATATGTTAATGTGTTTTTTATGCATGTATGAATGTATGATGGATGTATTTACGTAGGTGTCTATGCAGGTCTGTCTTGGTAAGCATGTTGTCGTATGCAGTGTGCACGAAACAAAAAAAGATGATGACTACGTTCAAAATCTTTGTATCAGCCGCCTGCATGTTGTCATATTACAGCTTTGTCTCGCCTTGATGCGGATAGACGGCGGGGGGCTTTTGAAAGAAGGGCATCCCTGTTTGCAAGAGAAGTCCACTTCCAGTCCTCGTGTCCCTTTGCAGGGCCCGAGCTGACATAGTAAAAGGAATGGGGCCTTGATTGATAATTACCTATACTAGGGTTCTTTTAAAAGGTTCCTTTAAAAGGGCCCTATAAGGGTTACTAGAAGGGCACGATATTATAGGGGCCTTGATAATTACCTATACTGCTTTGGGGGCTTCTTATTATATTAAGAGTAAAATGGGTCCCAAAACCCAATTGAAATTATTAAGGCCCCTGTGGTAGCTTGGGGCTATGAGATGGGATATCGGATAGGCGAGACGCGAAGTTGGCTGCCAGGGCCTCAGAGGGTACTAGGTGAAATGAAGATGGTTTCTTCGGGTTCGCATGGTTCGATGAGTGTTTAGCATGTTTTGAACCCGCTGGTTTTGCATGAAATGCATCATAGTAAATGCATGTAGTGGTTCTTTCCGAGATTGTCGCAGCGCCGGACGACAGCTTCCCTGATACTGGGCAGCCGTGGCCACCACCACGGCCACCACCCGCATCACCATCATCACCACTTTCAGTATTGAATATGACATCCGGCATCGCCAAAGCCACGATTGTAAAGTCATCGACATCGTTGACATAGTCAACATAGACATCATTCAGTCATCCATTCAGTCATCCGCGTCATCACAAAAAGCGTCTGGACCAGACGTAGCTCCTGGCCATTGAAATCTTAGTTGCAACCAACATCTATCGGGATGGGGAAGGTTCAGGTTGGGCAACTATGACCTGTGCACCCTTCAAGAATCTGCAAACAAGCAGTCCGAAAAGCCTCCCGCCGAAGCTGCTATTGCCTCGAATTGCATCTCTTTGCCGTCCAGCAGAAGATGCACCTACAAAAAGTGTTGCGCTTCGCTGAACTTGTCCCCGTGGGATTGCGCCTGCCTACCTGCCTGCCTGACTGGTTTGTTGCAGCGTGCAGCAAGAGTCGGAGCGGGCATGTGAAGCAGACCAGCACTGACGGAGCTCGCGATAACAAAACTGCAGCAAGTACGTGGCCACATTTTGACAAACACTCTTTTTGTTCGGGGTGTTGTGTTTCTGAAGTTCTCTCAGGACTCGGTAGCACTTTCAGAAGCCGCCTGGCATGTTGTACATCTTCTGCTGGCTTCGAAGACAGGATGTGTCTCGTTCACAAGCACGTTAGACAAGCCGGCACGCTTAGGAGACGGAGTTCGCCGGCGAGGCGGAAGCGGAGTGGGCTGTATTTAGTGAAGTTCGCAACTTGCGCTACATCTATGACATAGTCGTAGTCAGACGGACTGGACGGCCTTCGATTTACTTTTGACTGGGCAAGCCATTGAGGATCGAAGAGACCCACATCTCCCCCAAGCCTGCAGGGAATCTGATGCACGTTTAGCAGTTTAGCTCACTAGCTCTGGTGGTAACCCTGGCCCAAACAAAGCCCTGAGAGCACGTCGGTCGACGTCACTGGGCTGCACCTTTACGCACTTGCTTTGCAGCGGTAGCCAGGTTGCGCAGGTGGAATGAAAAGCCCCAAACCAAAGCCCTCATCCCCAGCTCTTGAAGCCATTGGGCGGTCAGCGCTCATGTGTCCCGTGACGGCCCAGCATGGCCTGGCCTCCCCTGGCTTCTGCCGGCCCTCGGCTGTGCCGTACAAACTCGCCGAGCCCATGGCGCCTGCGGGGCGAGGCGGAGAGTCGGCTTTGGCCTTGGGGCAGTAGCGGGAAACAGGCATTGGTAATTCTGATTGCAGAAAATCGCAGTCCGCATGGGAGGAGTGAGGTTGGAAGCTTTGCAAGAACAAGAAGCATCCTGTGGCATCAGCATTCACAGGTCGATCGCCAAAGAGCCGATCATCAGATTCAGAGACAGCGCTTTGCTGCTGCCCTCGCAAGCACCCCAGCGCAGTTTCTGAGTAAGGTGACTTTGTGTAGCAACATGTGCTTGCACCGTCAGTTCATGACAGATCTAGACAGCTCAAACGGATCTGCATGTTGTTGCAGAGGAGCAGCGTCGAACCAAGCAAAAGACTGGAGGAACCTGATTCCCCCAAGTTCATGGCTTCACCTTCTGGGGCTCACGGCAACAGGAAGGCTTCGAGTCTAAAGCCCCCAGCCCTAATCCTTCATTGTGTTGGGCGTTTGCTCTGCTGTTTGCAGGCTGCAGCGATGAGCGCTGCTTGTGCTGGTCTTCCGGCCCTGGGTGCTGAGCCAAGCAATTTAGAGAGTGTATTGGGTAGGCTTGATTGGGGCAGCACTACTCACTAGTGGACATACCAGAAGATTTCGTTCTAACCCTAAACCAGTGGCGGAAGGTTTAGGATCTGGTCATTCGGAGCTTGTGGGGGTATTTTCGAAGTTTGATTTTTGACGTTGTGATGTTTCCGTTCCATTACGCTTGAAGTCTTGTCTACATGTGAACTCCCCGGCCGAACCGCAGAATCTCTTGGGTGCAGAGGGATCTGAGCAGCAGGGAAAATCTGTCACTTTCCGAAGACACCCACGTCTGCATCAACAGGCGAAAACCATCTTTTCGGGAAGCTGAAGCTAATTTGCTCGAGCCCGATTCCTCAAAGCTTGCTCACTTCACTGGTAGGTGCTGATGTAAGCTTCAAACTCATTGACCTCTCGGATTCTCAGGCGCTGGAACGCGTCGTGCGCGAGCCGGAAGGCCTACGGGGCCTGAGACATCTCATGGTATGTGGTATGTTGTTACTGATCGGCAGGCCATGCTGGGCTACAGCATGCTGTTTTGTTAATTTACTTTGTAGTACGTGCTGAAGACACATTGTGGCACTCGGGAACATTCCGGGGTTCTTGGCTTTCGTCGTTCCCAACCACCCCCATAGTCTCAGTTTCCGGAGGCTTTTGGAGTCTTGCAGATTACATGTTGAGGGGCTTTCCCGTGGTGCTAGAACTTCACTTCAACTCCAAATGGGAGTTTCCGAAAATACGGGACTCTACGATAATACCCTAAAGGATCACCAAAAGACGGTGCCCTTAATTTTCGGAAACTCCCAGATCCTGGCTGTTGAGGACTTCCCGGGTGAGGCGAGGCGCCTCCGCGTCCAGACAGGAAGATCCTCTGCTCTTGGAATGCAGAGGGGGAATTGGCGTTGCGGTATGGTACAGGGTATGGTGTTGGCTTCGTTAGAAGCATTAGTACTTTGCCTTTTGCAACTTTTGCAACTTTTTGCCCTCATGGTACTTGATGAAGGTGGAGTCGTTTAACTCGCGACGGTCGGGCAAGAGGCTTGTGCCTTTCGGGTTTTGGGCTTGGGCCCTGAAAGTTGGCTTGGGAATTGAGTTGTGATTGTGCTGCAAGTTGCGCGGCTTCGCGATGATTTCGCGAGTCTATGAACTTGTTTGCCGGACAGGGCAGTGATATCAGCAGCAGTAAGCACAGCTACGACAGTATTCACAAGCCAAGCAGTACGAGTACCAATTGTACGGATGCTCATACTAGGGCAAGGTAATCAGGGCCTGGAGAGGGTGACAGAGCAAGGGCCAGTGACGAGGAATCAGTGGTGAAGAAGCTGATGTGATAGGGCAAAGGTTCCGGGTTGGGTCTAGAAGGCCAGAACCCCTTTCCGTTTCATCGTTTGCCAGGAGCAGAAGGAGGACAAAGGGGCAATCAAACAACTTCAAGCCCTCCACTATCAATATTTCTTTGAGTTTGCTTCGCAGCTCATGCGCTTTAACAAGTACCGGGATGGCTTAGGCGCAACGAAGAGGTGGAACCCTTGCCCGGACATGAGCTGCCTCCTTAGCTCCGAGCTTCGGGCCTCAGGATTTGGGGTTCAGCGATTCGGGATGACGGACTGGTCAGGCTTTAGGGATTTGATTTGGGGAGTAGGGATTCGGGATAGGTACTATGCGCCTACTACTTGAGTCGCCCTTTCTCAGGAGAACTTCTTGGAGTTCGATTGCAGCAGGTTGTGACTGAATTTGCTTGTAAACCTGTTCGGCAGACGTGTTTTGGGTAGGAAGCTACTGGCGCATTGTGACTTCGATTGCGATAGTTTGCATGCTTCCGTGAAGCTGGTACTTTAGTTCTTTTCGCCTGGTGCAGCTCAGGCATACCTGCACCATGATCTACCTCCATGGCTACTGCCGACTGGGCTTGGGGCTGAGTCCGCTCAATCCAGGTTAAGAGCGGGTTCATGTTCGAAGGTTGATCTACTTCCATGATATTCTTTGATAACTTAACGTGTTTTTCATGACGCGCCAATGAAGGTGATGACGGTGATGGTGAGCGGAGACGACGAGGATGACGCTGGCGATGGTCCAGATGATGGTGATGATGGTGACAGTGGTGAGTGCCATGGTAATGATGCAGATCACGTTCCCTGGCGACGTTGCGAGACACAGCAGTCGAACGCTTCGTGATTCAAGGTTGGACTTCGTCCAAGCCTGTGCATCTTTGTAGTGCCCAGTTCATTGCCACTTGCCTCTCTCTGTCGATCTCTTTCTCTCTCTCTCTCTCTCTGTTTCTCTCTCTCTCTCTCTCTCTCCCTTTCTCTCTCTCTCTCTCTCTCCTCCTCTCTCTCTCTCTCTTTCTCTCTCTCTCTCTGTTTCTCTCTCTCTCTCTCTCTGTCTGCCTCTATCTCTCTCTTTTTCTCTTTATCACAGTCTTCTGGTGCTGGCTTTCTTTTGGCAAGGCTGGTTTTCATCCCGTCGCTGCGAGTTGTAGACTGCCGATCAGAAGCTCGGAACTCAGGCTCGGAGTACCTGCCGAAGGGCCAGCTATGCTTTTGCATGCCATGGGCCCCAGGTGGGGACCGTGCTCGAGGACACCAGGGGACGGGCATGTGTGGATCTAGCAGCCTTTCTGACAGAATCCTTTAAGGAATCGGGATCTGGAGTTTACTTTACTCAGGTTGATGCTGTGTCCGAATCTAGGACATCTTCTGTGCTCAGAGTTTCAACTTTTCGGAGATTACCGTGGGGCTGATCCCATGGTATTGCACTCTCAGCAAAGAACCACACCTGTCGTGGGCAGCATAAGCTCTTAGTGGGTCTAGTTGAGCCCGGCTTCACTTCTCTGGGTGCAAGTCCACAGGCTTCTCGCATGAAAAGATAGGAAGCTCTCGGATCAGTCCCTCTGTTCGAGATAGAAGGTTTCGGCTGCAAAAAGCCTGATTTCTTAGCTAAAGTCCTGTGGGTTGTAGCACGTGCGTCGGGGGAGCAATTTCGCTCTCGAAATCCAAACAATTGAGGACTCAGAGCAGTTTTGCCCACAGCCCCAGAGTTGCGCCAACCGTGGGGTGAGGAGGCCACGTCCTGGCGACCCTGGCAGAATACAACAGGTTCTGTTGTCGATCAGGGTATATGCTGATTTGTATCCACGCGTGGAGGCTGTTACAACACCGACTCTAGGATTAGATGATCCAATTTGGCCAAGGTATGGTTACGAGTCGCCCCGGCATAATCGTGCCACTGGGCTGCACTGTGTTCCCCTCAGCGGTAGCATGTGCGATACGGTCAATCGTTGATGATGTTGACGATGGTGATCAGTACTTCCCGAAAGCATCGCGAAGGGTTCTTCCGTGCGGAGCCGGGTAGATGAGTACATAGATGACAAACATAGAATCGACTTACTTGACTTTATACCTTACTTGACTTACTTACTTGACTCTATACCTTACTTGACTCTACACTTGATACTTGACTCTATGATGCTATACCTTAAATACTTACTTACTTACTTACTTACTTACTTGACTCTATACCTTACTTGACTTACTTACTTGACTATGAACCTTACTTGACTCTACACTTGATACTTGACTCTATGACTCTATACTCATTTACTTACTTACTTACTTACTTACTTGACTTTACTTACTTATTTGACTCTATGCTATCTCCATGCTATGAACCTTACTTGACTCTACATTTGATACTTGACTCTATGACTCTATACTTACTTACTTACTTACTTACTTACTTGACTCTACTTACTTACTTACTTACTTACTTGACTCTATGCTATCTCTATGCTATGAACTTGAATTTGACTCTATGCATATGACTTACTCTCTACATCTCGGTATCTAATCTCTCTTCTAAAGCCAGGGGTGGCACCGTCGTCATCCATCGGGAATGCAACCCTTGGAAGGGATTGGCCAACTCGAGCGCCCAAACGCTAGGTAAAGTTACACATTTTGCGGTTCCCGTGCAACCCTTCACAGGGATTGGCCACCTCGAGCGCCCAAACGCTCGGTAAAGTTACACATTTTAGGCGCGCGGCGCAACCCTTCACAGGGATTCGCCTCCTCGGGCGTTCAAACGCAAGGTAAAGTTACACATTTTAGGGTTCCCGTGCAACCCTTCATAGGGATTGGCATGGCCGAGCGCCCAAACGCTAGGTAAAGTTACACATTTTTTAACTTAATAGGCGCGCGGCGCAACCCTTCAAAGGGATTCGCCTCCTCGAGCGCCCAAACGCTGGGTAAAGTTACACATTTTGCGGTTCCCGTGCAACCCTTCACAGGGATTGGCTTGGTCGAGCGTTGAAACGCTAGATAAAGTTGCACATGTTGCGGGCGCCGCGCAACCCTTCACAGGGATTCGCCTCCTCGGGCGCTCAAACGCTAGGTAAAGTTACACATTTTGCGGGCGCCGCGCAACCCTTCACATTGATTGGCATGGGCGAGCGCCCAAACGCCGGGTAAAGTTACACATTTTTTTAACTTAATATAGGCGTGCGGCGCAACCCTTCACAGGGATTGGCATGGTCGAGCGCCCAAACGCGAGGTAAAGTTAGTACTTTTGATGTGCTTCGAGGCGCAATTTGCAACCCTTCACAGGGATTGGCGTGGTCGAGTGCACGAACTTGCAACCCTTCACAGGGATTGGCATGATCGAGTGCGCGAACGCGAGGTAAAGTTGCTACTTTGGAGGGCTTTTAAATGCATTGAGGTGCAATTTGCAACCCTTCACAGGGATTGGCATTTTGCAACCTTTCACAGGGATTGGCATGGTCGAATGCACGAACGCTAGGTAAAGTTGCTACTTTTGATGTGCATTGAGATGAATTTTGCAACCCTTCACAGGGATTGGCGTGGTCGAACGCACGAACGCGAGGTAAAGTTATTACTTTTGATGTGCATTGAGGTGAAATTTGCAACCCTTCACAGAGATTGGCGTTGTCGAGTGTTCGAACGCGAGGTAAGGTAACACTTTTGCTGTAATAGTAGTAATAGTAGTAATAATAGTAATAGTAGTAATAGTAGTAAGTAGTAGTAGTAATAGTAGTAATAGTAGTAGTAGTAATAGTAGTAATAATAGTAATAGTAGTAATAGTAGTAATAGTAGTAATAGTAGTAGTATAGTAGTAATAGTAGTAATAGTAGTAATAGTAGTAATAGTAGTAATAGTAGATGGTAGTAATAATAATAGTAGTAGTAGTAGTAGTAGTACATAGTACCATGGCGTTGCCGCCACAGCAGCTGAATGGTCTGCGAGAGGGTTTGGCGAGCACGGTGAAACCTGGCTCCGTGCGGAGCTTCGGGAAGTAACTACCAGGCAGTTGTGTGGGCTTGCTGCCGTTGCAGGCGTGCCGCAGCGCTCGTCCTAGCGCACTCTGTCCACAAGCTGGAATTGGTATATCAGCTCTATCATAGTGCATTGTCGAGGAGGCGGCTTCATGGGGAATCGATGTCGTTGATCATTGTCTGTGTCAATTTGTCTTGCAGAGAGGCGTCAGTGTCGTGGCCAGGTTAGATGTTTCGTGCTTTCACGTGAAGTTTTTGCTGTCAGGTCGATGTTGTTGCTGCGTCGGAGCAAAAGCTGCAGGAGCTGCGAAAGGGCTGTGCCGAGCACGGCGAAGCCTGGCTCCGCGACGAGCTCGGGAAGCGGACTCGCTATTGGTTGTGTGGTCGTGCCGCAGCGCTCGTCCTGGCACACTCTGTCCAAGCTGGAATTGGTATAAGCTCTATCATAGTGCATTGTCGAGGAGGAGGCTTCATGGGGAATCGATGTCGTTGATCATTGTCTGTGTCAATTTGTCTTGCAGTGAGGCGTCAGTGTCGTGGCCAGGTTAGATGTTTCGTGCTTTCACGTGAAGTTTTTGCTGTCAGGTCGATGCTGTTGCGGCGTCGGAGCAAAAGCTGCAGGAGCTGCGAGAGGGCTGTGCCGAGCACGGCGAAGCCTGGCTCCGCGACGAGCTCGGGAAGCGGACTCGCGATCAGTTGTGTGGGTTTGCTGTCGCCGCGGATGCGCAGCAGAATATCGCGGCGCATTGCCGAGCAGGACGCTTCAAGGGGAATCGCTGTCGTTGATCACTGCCTGCGTGAGTCAGTTTGCATTGCAATGAGGCGTCGCCGGTGCCTGCTCGATGACTTATTCAGGCTCGGAATCTCTACGTCGATTATAGAGGCTTTCTCATTGCACGTGCATGACCCGCATGCTTTGCTCGAAAGGAGAAATATCTTGCAGCATCTTACCATGCTGAGGACTGTTCTTTACCTGCCTTGCTCTGCTCGACAGGGAAAATACGTTGCAGCATCTCACCATACTTAGGACGGTTCTTTGCCTGACTAGACGCTGTCTTGCGAGAGGGCCGGTGTGGACACATGGTGTTGCTGCCATAGCAGCTGAATGGCCTGCGAGAGGGCTCGTCCTGGCGCACTCTATCCAAGCTGGAATTGGTATAAGCTCTATCACAGTGCGTTGTCGAGGAGGAGGCTTCATGGGGAATCGATGTCGTTGATCATTGTCTGTGTCAATTTGTAACATAGTGAAGCGTCAGTATCGTGGCCAGGTTGGATGTTTCGTGCTTTCACGTGAAGTCTTTGCTGTCAGGTCAATGCTGTTGCTGCGTCGGAGCAAAAGCTGCAGGAGCTGCGAGAGGGCTGTGCCGAGCACGGCGAAGCCTGGCTCCGCGACGAGCTCGGGAAGCGGACTCGCGATCAGTTGTGTGGGCTCGCTGTCGCTGGCGGATGCGCAGCATGAAGTCAGCCGGGCGCAAATTTTCCAAAGCGGAGTTGTTGGAAGCTCTATCGCGGCGCATTGTCGAGCAGGACGCTTCATGGGGAATCGCCGCCGTTGGTCACTGCCTGCGTGAGTCAGTTTGTGTTGCAATGAGGGGTCGCCGGTGCCTGCTCGATGACTTATTCAGGCTCGGAATCTCTACGTCGATTGCAGAGGCTTTCCCATTGCACATGTATGACCCGCATGCTTTGCTCGAAGGGATGAACATGTTGCAGCATCTTACCATACTGAGGACTGTTCTTTACCTGCCTCGATCGAATGTCTACCGTCTTCCCTGCTGGATCAGCTCCAACCAAGGATACCGCAGCACTATAACACGATCACCGACCACCGGACCTGCCTGCACTGAAACAACTTGACACCATGACTCTAGATACTTATTCACCTGACTTATGCACTTGACTTTATGCACTTCGCCGTATGCAGTTGACTTCATATACTTAAGTTTATACACTGCTTCGACAGCTTTGACAACATCGACTGAGGAACGCAGAGTGAAACACGTAGAGTCAAGTTCATAGATTCCAAAATATCGATCTCGGCATTGCCATATACTTCATAGTTAGATGCACTTCGCGCTATGACTCTAGTCTTTTGCAGTTTGTGCTAGGCTGCCTATGCATGTGATTGTAGTCTTAATGTTGCTGTGGCTCGCGTTGCGATGGCAATGGTGTTTATCCTGCTTCTACTTCCGATTGCAGTTCCGTGAGTACAACCGTGATCGCTAGTCGTACTCTTGTCTCTGGAGGTGGGTGATCCGCGATCGTTGCAGGCGCCACCAAACCAGACCTTGGAAAATCCGCAGCAATAAGTGTGGCTGTGTACACTCAACTTCCCGCTTGAGTGACCATGTGCAGGGGTCAAGGCTTTTTGAAACAGGTTTGAGCCGAGCTTCCTGGGGCTGGCATGTTCGGGGGAGATGGCTCGGGGCTTCACGCGAGCGGCTATTGAATGTCAATTTCTGTTAGCACTAGCAGTAGCAGTTGGTCGCTGACCGTACACGTCGACAGGAAACGCGTTCTCGCCTCGATGCTGTTGTGCGGCGCGAGGTCGAGCGGGTGGGAGGCACAACGCATGGTCATCCACCACTATTAACATACTAAACAGATCTTTTTGTTTATTCTTCTGTTGAAAATCAATCACTTTATGTTTAGATTCTATGATATTCTTTAATGCCACCGGATCGTATTCCTCATAATAAGGCTTTTCTTTTTCTACGTCTACCTTCATACATCCTTTATGTATTTCTTCACTGCCGACCAAGTGTCATCAATGTGAAGACTGGGAGAGAAGATGTATGTTCTCTCACATGATCCTCTGTAGATATTTGATAGCAAGTTCTGGATCAACACTGTTTTACCGCCTGTTGAAGAAGCCACGCGTAACATCCGCGCGGGTAGCTTCGGCATCATATCAAACTTGCTGTTTTCGTATTCATATTCAGGTATGTCTATGGGTTCTACTTTAGGTATTTCTTCACCCATTAGCTAATAACAGAAAAATATCTGTTAATGAACAAGTATACAGAAACAATAGAGAAGATTGAAGAAAATGAAAAGATTATAATACAAGATACTAAGCTTCAAAGGTGTTGCACCGCTTCTTTAGAATTTCTTAAGGCAGTTCTTGAATATTTAAAAAATCTAAGAAAGGTTAATGAGTGATACAGCGGAAAACGAAAACGACAAAAACAAAGGTTTTCATATCGACAAAAAGGGCTTTGACTGCATACCTTGCTGTTGCAGGAGACAGCTATATCATAAGGAGACTAAGACGGTCAAGAAAAAACGATAAAGTACCAACTAACACTGTTGTGGATTCAAGAAACCTTAAATTTGGCGGATGGAATGTTTCGCCTGATGACATCTTTAGAACTGATGAGGCAGATCAAACGGGATCAGTTGCAATATGCGACATTGGATGGAACAGAGGAAGTCAGATAACACCAGAGGAGCTCGAAGAAAAACTAGATAAGCTAGGAGAAGAGGTTGAAAAGTTGAACGGATAGACCAAGATGTAACTATTTTGAAGAATAGTTTAAGTATTCTGGATTAAAAATTTAGTGTATACTGACAGGCCATCTTGGTATAAAATGCCCCCAATGAAAACATAAGCAGGAAGTGAGCCAATGCCCCCGCGTGCCTAGCAGGTTCAACAGGTTCATAGGCAAACCATAAGAGTTTGACAATGACATTAATTCGTAATTAGTTAATAATTAGTTCGATAAAATCTTAAGGAACCGGTGCAAATTTTCATACTATCTCATTGTGAAAAAATGTTTATTATACTAATAATGCCAGTAAGAGTACATCTTTTATCAGTTGATTTTGATCCATATACTGAAACAGGTAATGTTGTTACTAGGAAGTGATATCGTTGGAAACAAGTCAAAGACACTTATTGTTTTAAGCGTTTCTATTGCACTGGTAAGTATTCTTATTGCTTTGTTGAATGCATTGGGACTCGTTCTATTGTGCTATTTTTATTAGGAAGATGGAGACAACCAAATGCAAAAGATGCCGCAGCCAAAAACCTACCGAAGAGTTCGGGGTCAATAAATCGGGACAACCTTGGCGCAATTGCATTGAATGCAGAGATTGAGGATAAGAAGTTTGATGTAATTGTAGTGCATAAGCAGTTATACATTATAATTACATTACAGTTATAACCCTTAACCTTAAACCCTGAACCACACTCTACAAGGAACCCCTTGCCTATTTAGGCCATTGGCACCTAGGTAGACACGGGTATTTGGGAATAGATGCGGGTATTTGGGAATACAAAATATTTCTCATGATAGAAATTTAGGTTGGTGGGGTGGGTGGTGCCGATCGCCGAAAATAGGCAAGGTACACTCTAACTGATATATGCTCTTGGCATCCTCAAGCTCCGTATGAGCTTTACCAGCCCTGTCTTCGACAGGCGGCCGCCGAGTCTTCCTGGGTGGTGCCTCACAAGGCTGCACTGTGGCTCTGGACACCTACCTCAGGTGGTGCCGGGGGAAGCCGAAATTGTGAAGATAGTGCCTCGGTACACTCGAGTTGCGTGTCAATTGAAATCAGCTACTGCTACTACTACCACCGCGTCTACTGTGACTTCTACGACTACGCCGCTGCAACTGCTAGTGTTCGACGAGCACTAGTATTAGTATGACGACGTACGACGACGACTGGTACCGCTACGGGAAATGTGTCCAGAACGAGTATGAGCATTATTCGCGTGCTCGTGTGTCAGCATGCTATGACTTCTTTTGTGATTATAATCAGTGTTGCGACGATGACGATGTCGGCTACTGCTACCACAGCGACAAATACTCCCCTTCTCCCGCTTCTGCTACTGCTCGTGCTCGTACAACTACTCCTACCCGTACTCCGACTACTATGTCAACTCTTAGTCCTCCTACTCTTGCAACGACCCCGACTCTTACGACTACAGCAGCGACAAAAACTAGTATTAGTACTAGTACTACTACTACTAGCCTACTACTACTACTGCTGCTGCTGCTGCTACTACTACTACTACTACTAGCCTACTAGCCTACTAGCCTACTAGCCTACTAGCCTACTAGCCTACTAGCCTACTAGCCTACTAGCCTACTAGCCTACTAGCCTACTAGCCTACTAGCCTACTAGCCTACTAGCCTACTAGCCTACTACTACTACTACTACTACTACTACTACTACTACTACTTCTGCTGCTGCTGCTGCTGCTGCTGCTGCGACGACTACTACTGCTACCAGAGTTTGCTTGACAGCCAGCCCGTGATGGTTGAGCACAGTGTTGACAAGCCTGCAATCGTCACACTCGAGACGAGCTGGTCTATTGTGTCGGCTTCCTGATTTGGTCTTGCCGTTGTGAGTGGTTGTAGGAATTCCTGAACAGAGAGACGCAGGAGGTCCCAGATTCCCTGCGCAGGCTTGCCTCAGAACTCAGACTCGGTGGCTTTGTGGGCAGCATTGGCTTCATGCCAACGGACTCGAAAGGAGCTCGGAATTGAGGGCTTGGCTTCAAATGAGGTGATTGATCGATGGCTCAGGCTTCAAGCTATGGATCACTCGCAAATGCCTGAACAATCTGGATATGTAGGTAGGAATACCTGTTGTTGTAAATAGATAGCTTGTCTGTCTGTCTGTCTGTCTTGTGGATCGGTCGGTCGCTGGGTCGCTGCGTCGGTGGGTCCATCTGTCTGTCCGTTTCTCTATCTTTCTGTCTGTCCGTCCGTCCGTCCGTGCTCGGATACGTTTTTCTTTTTTGCGACGCAGTTACTATCCCGTGGAACGGATATTAAGGACACTGAGAAAACCAAAGGCAAGCACAGACACAGAGACATCACTAAACATCAGAACAAGCGACAGCAGACCCAACAAGCAACAGTCAAAGAGCACAGCAAACACAATATCAGGAAGCACAACTCTGTTGACTGGATGGCGGAATGTTGTTCGAAAGTCTTTCCGTGGCCCAGCCAGGCCCGATCGGGGAAAGCCGGAACCCGAGCCTTCAGCTGCAGACTGCGACCAGGCTTCCCTGGCTCCAACCGGGCCCTGCGGAAGCTGCTGCAGGACGAGGAGCAGGTTTCCCTTCTTCTGCGCAACTTGAACTTTGCATAGTGGAGTTAGGATTTTTCTTAGTCCCCACCACATGTATCACAGATAGAAAAGACGTCCTGCAACCAATCTCTAGAGAATCGGTCGGCAGGCACGGCGGCCGATTTGGCTGCAGTGCGCCATGGATGACTACGAAGCGGTGCCTTGGAGGCACCGGTCTTGAGGATCGGGGCCTTCAGATCTCGTTTGAGCCGCTTGCCTTCTTGCGAGGGTCGAGGGTTTAGCCGAGGCTACATTGGTGACTGACAAGCTCTCGTCATGTGTGAGTTTGTTCTCATGTGCAATCCAACAGCAGCTGCCTTCCTCTGCCCAAACGCCTGCAAAACACATGTTCGTGTTGGGATTTGCTTGTGAGATGTCATTTCATTGGTTGTGGCCCCAGTCCTGTGGGTGTGCAGATGCAGTTTGTGTCTCTGCACCTGCAGTGAAGCCGGGCCCTAAGCTGGCACAGGACAAGCCATAGCTGGCAAGACTGGCTTTTCCATGGCTGTCTGTCTGTCTGTTTGTCTTTCGAGCACGCTTAGCAGGCTTAGCAATATGTTCTCGTGTTACGTATGAGGCTAGCCATGCCTTCCTCCCGGCATCTCTGCACGCACACAGACATGCATTCATCAGTCAGTCGTGATTACCTACATAAAAAACAGCTGTACAAGCATACATGCAAGCATGTATCATACATATTTACGTGCATACCGACATACATGCATACATACATAAATAGAGGCATGCTTGAACACATTCGCTTAGATACGTCTACGGCGACTCGCGCAAATGCATATAAGCATATCTACACTACACACATGCATCTGAAAGACATACCCGTCGCAACTCAGTGTCTGGTATGCTCGGGGGAACTGTGCCATGTTACCTTGCTTTACTTCCCGTCAGCGTCCTCCGGCCCCCTCCTCTGCCCCTTTTCTTCTACTACCTCACAAACGGGAAAAGAAAAAAAGGCACGACGAGACCTGAAGCAAAAGTCCGTACATGGTCGTTGTGAACTCGAGCTTTGCCGCAGGAGCGTTGTCGAGCCGTCACTTCGGCGTGCTAGCGGGTGGCACTTGGGCTTGGGAGATTCCGTGGCCTCAGGGGTTTGGCACGGGACTGAGATTGGGGGGTTTCAGGATTTGTTCCGTAGATGCTCTTTGCGCAGAGCATCGAGTTGTTGGTGTTTTGTGGGACCCTGCCCAGAAATTCAATGTAACTGTTCATGCATTTGTGCACTGGGGGTCCTCTTTTGCAGGGAAAGATCAAATCTTCCTCGTCCCGGAACACCACAGCGGAAGCTACAGTCCTGCTTGCTTGATCCGTGCCGTTCCTTCGGGCTTCGGCTTTGCATTGCGACCACAGCATACGGATTTCAAGCCTTTGAGACTAAGTACAGGGCTGTCGCAAAACATCGCGGAAACCATCAATTTCAGTCCGAGAGAGTTCCAATCTCAGCTCCCTGTGCTCATCAGTACTTTAGATAAGAGGTGGTGCCCAAGTGGCCGCAATCCTTGTTCTGCCCGCGGCCTTAACCCTCTTCGCAGAGACCTAGTGCCGGAGGCTTCCTGGACTCCTCCTACGGCAGGTCGTTGGTCGAGGGCACGGTATCGAAGAGTGGGAGGCACGGTGCTGAGGGGTTTCGAAGCTGAAGGACATGTGTATTAGAAGTGTGCATGCTGGTGCCCTCACCGCACTTCTTGTAAAGCAAAGACACGTCCGTCCTACCGCAGTATTTCGAAGCTCGCAAGCCGTAAACCTGATTGTCCCCGGCAACGATGACGTCCTCGTGGGCAAGAAGCGTCGGGCGCCTGGCCCCGGTGCTGCCACTTGGCTGCCTTTGCACAGGACAGGTCGCGTCTCGGGGAGTCCTGATCCTTAAAAGCAGGCATTCTGTAAAGTGATCACGAATCTGTATCATTCAGATCATTCAGCGAAGATCCACGTCAGAAATTTAGTGTCTGAAACGGTTTGCCGAGTAGAGGTATAGCGATCAGAGCAGGAAGGAATTTATGCAACAGCAGCAGCAGCGCCAGAAGCAGCAGTAGCAGTGGCATTGGCAGCAGTCGCAGTAGGAAGAGCAGTCGCGGTTGTTGCTGTTGTTTTCACCGCTGATAGCAATGCTAACACATCTACAAACAGCCAGCATGGGCAAGATAACCTTGTCAGAGTCAGGCTTACCTTGGCTGCCGGCCAGTTCGCGGGAACCGTGATTCCGGAAGAGCCCCTTGGAACTGCTAAGGGTTGCATTGGTGTTTGAGAGTTGTAATATTTATTGCTTGAGAATGTGCGGCCAGAGACTGTTCCTACAGGATTTGGGCGGGGTTTCAGTGCTCAACAGGCCGTCCTTTTGCAGTGGTTGCTTGTCGAGGCATCCGGGGTTCGATGGGCAACTGGTGCCACATCCCAGACAGTCACGAACCGAAAAGGAGAGTCGCCTCAAGAACCAAGAGATTGTTGGATGAGCACCTTTTACCAGATTCCCCGTCGTCGACATTGCAACTACTATCAGTATATCCGTGAACATAACTGTAGCATCCTCGAGCTTTTAACTCACCAGCGACAGCACCTGTGGCCAGTGCCAGAATGGCCATGAGCAATCAGCAATCGGCATCAGCATCATGAACTTGTGGTACTCATGTTAATCTTGACGCCCTTCTTCGTTGTTCATAATCATGGGCGTCAACATCACTGTGGCTTGCAACATGATCATGATCAGTACCATGTTCATGGAAATCATCATCACCATCGTCTTCGTCATTCGTATCATCGACATGACAAGACCCGACCTTCTTGACCGTCAGCGGTCTGACCTTTAACGGATCTTGTTGGTTGATCCTCTCCGTCACATCTTCGTCGAAGCTGTGCTCAGCTTCTCCATCATGGACACTCAGCTTCGTCTTGGTTGATGTGCTCATTTTTTCAGTCACCGAGGGCCAGCCTCATTCTGACCTCGTCTGCCTCCCTGTCCCCATCCTTCTGCTGCTGCTCCTCAGTCCTCGTTTGTCTTCAGTTTTGTGTTGGTCCTCTCCATCTCGTCCGTCGACCTTGGGATGTTTTGACTTTTAGTTCCATGTTGTGGCCTGGGTCTTGCTGCAGCTCGGGGGTCGTCCCAAAGAAGTCGGGTTTACACAGGTTCAAAAGAGTGGCAGTTCCGCAGTGAAGGACTTTACAATAAGCTCCAGTCTACCACCCTGCCAGCCAGCATCGAGGCGGAAGAACGAGAGGTTTCATGTCTTACGGCTCTCTTTTAATCTTTCCTCCATCAGCATGCATCCTTCCCTTCGCACGATGCCCGCAAAGCCCCTCGTGCCGAACGCCAGAAGTCCCGGCAGTCCCAGATCTTCACACGGAAGCCCTGAAGCCCTCAATTTCACCCGAAGCCCCATGCGTCTGAGGGCGCCGTCGATGGTGATGGAATCCTGCACCTTAGCGGGTGGCTGTACACCGGAGAGCCTTGGAATTCGCTTAGATCCGGGCTTCGGGGCTGACGTCAGGTGAAGGTTTTCACGCTTGAGAGCCAGTTCTCAAAAAAGCCCTGCTGCTTCTTCTTCGTCTTCTTGTTCCTGTCGCTCTAAGTGTACGGGTGTCAGGGACCGTTCTTGTTATTTATTGTTATAGCTTAATGCGGCCCCAAGACGTGACTCGTTTGCTTGAGTTGACTGGCTATTGTTACCCAGTCGATGCGAAACCTTCTAGGTTCGAAGTGACTGCATTTCTTTAAGTTGTGTTGTTATTGCCGGTTTGGTGGCAAGGGGCCCTGCACGACCATTCAAGGTGCAAGGGCACCCAGAAGATTTTCCTTCAGCTTTGTCTCAGTTAAAGTCAGCTTTCATCGTTGAACTGCCCTAGCCCCTAAACCCTAAACCGTAAACCCCTAAACCCATAAACCCCTGAACCCTAAACCCTAAACCCTAGGCCCTAGGCCGTAATCTTGGCAAAAGGATGGTGTCCCTCGTCATCGACTCGAACTGGCGGTGGGTCCACAACACCGGTGGCTATCAGAATTGCTTCTCAGCCGAGGGTTGGAATGACGAGTCTCTTGGCGAAGGCATGATTCGGGCTGCTAAACCCTAAACCTGCGCGTTTCGCCGGTGCTTGCTTGGTCGGCGGCTGCGCCATATTAGTTTCCTTTTTGTGGCTGTCGCCGGCACAGCACAGTCAGTTCTCATGATGAAAACGGCAAGTTGACATGTCTTCACCGACTCGTGCGTTCGGACACATGCACATGATGAAGTAGTTGCGATGAATGTTTCGTGCATGGCAATGAAGTGCAGAACGACAAAGCCTGCTGGCTTAGAGCCAAACGTGGCGCTGCTCCCTGTGCTTTTTGGAGTTGCCACTCCTGGTTCTGTTCTATTCTGATCTATTCCGTTTTGTTGTATTTTTTTTACGAGTCGAATCGAATCCAATCCACCCAGCCCAATCTAATCGAACTTAGTCTAGCTATCCATCGACCTGCATGTATGCAAAGCGCGTGCTTCTGTATGTATATGACATTGCATGATGGGGACCGGCACTTGTGCGTGCATGCGTGCACGTGCGTATACCTTGAAATGGAATGTTAGCAGCCCCGCATGCTTCAGGTTGTATTTTGAAGCCAAGGTTCTGTCCCGATCCGGACACTTGCAAGCAGAACTGCGCCGTTGAAGGTGTGGATGCCAAGGGCTACAAGAAGAACTATGGGGTACACCAGATGTTTCCCGGCAGCATCAGGCTGTGCCTGGCAATTCGCACTTTGATGCTTTTGTAGGCGCTCAGTAGGCGGAGCACTTGTGATGCGGAAAGCATTAGGTTCGACAAGGATGACGATGACGAGGACGGAGATTCCGAAGACACCAAGGATGGGAAGGGTGATCCTATTGGTGTCAAGTTGGACTTCTCCACCGATGGCGGGAACGTGGGATCCAGGCTTTACATCAAAGACACAGAGCACTCCTACAAGATGTTCAAGCTTTTAAACCGCGAGTTTACCCTTGACGTCAAGATGAAGAAATTGGGCTGTGGGACCAACGGGGCCGTCTATTTCATTGAGATGGACCCCTTCGGCGGCATGGGCCGCGACGGTAACGCAGCCGGTGCCAAGTTTGGCACGGGCTACTGTGATGCACAGTGTCCTCATGAAAAGTTTGAAACCAATGCCTCCTTGGGAATCTGTTGCGTGGAAATGGATATTTGGGAGGCAAATCGGAGGGCCACGGCCTACACGCCTCATCCGTGTAGCACCATCGGGCCAGAACGTTGCGCAGGCAATGTCGAGTGCGGCTACGGGGAGAATGGTGAGCGCTGGCAAGGCCTCTGCGACAAAGATGGTTGCGACCTGAACACCTACCGCATGGGAGCTCATAGCTTCTATGGCCCCGGAAAGGATTTCGAGGTAAACTCCATGAAGCCACTGACAGTGGTGACTCAGTTTCGGACCGACGATGGCACCGACACGGGGAAACTCGTTGAGATCCGCCGCCTGTATGTGCAGGATGGCAAGCTGATTGAGAACGCCGAGTCCTCGATTCCCAATGTGACGGGTAACGCCATCACCGACAGCTTCTGCAATGAGCAGAAGAAGGCTTTTCAAGATTACGACCACCACCAGGAGAAGGGCGGCCTTGCCTCCATGGGCGAGGCCTTGGCAAGGGGCTTGGTCCTTTCGGTGTCGGTCTGGGACGACTTCTCCACGCACATGGCCTGGCTGGATGCCCAGTTCCCACCAGAGGAGGACCCTGCGGAGCGCCTGGGCGTCCTCCGCGGCCCTTGCAATGCCAGTGACGACGGCCCAATCGAAGTGAGGCCCAAGCACAAGAAGGCCTGGGTGAAGTATTCCAACTTCAGATATGGGGAAATCGGCTCCACATACCAGGACAAGGTTGCCCGTCGGCTGGAGTCCGACGCTCAGTCTGTCGAGTCCGTTCTGGTGTAGAGTCCAGGCTCCAAAGCTCCGAGGCCTGGTTTTCTCTTTGGGGCTGAAAGCCCAGCTCTTCAAACAGGATCTTCCTCATTTCGGTTAGTCCTCACTAAGGGTCTGGGCCCTGCCATGCGTGGTCTTCACCAGAATTTGACCACAGTTTACAGCATCCAGGGCTCAGCCACTCTATGCCGCTATGCCTGTGGACGATGTACCGGCCAACGTGCCGCCTTTGTTTCAGTGACGATGAGTCACTCGGCTCGCATTTTTGATTGTCATGTCTCAAGTTCCAATGCACGTTCTCGAACAGATGAAGATGCTGAAATCCAAAATGCGAACTTTAGTTTTCGTCTGGAGAGTCAGACATTTTGATGCCTGAGCGCGCTCGACTGAGAGCTGAATTCGAAAGCTCCCCGTCGTAACCTACTAGTGCTGAAGCACCGGGCGGCATCAGGATCAATTCTGAAGCCAACACCCGGCTACAGTTCCAAATTAGTTGTCGCTTGCGAATGCATGTCCCGCACCCCGCAGAAGCGGCCATTGTGGGTGCTTTTGGCCACAGCTTGGAGAGGACTCCGTGACGGAAGCCCTTTCTTTGCAGCATGCTATCAGAATTTGGGACCCGGACATTGAACGAAATGGTGTGCTGTGTACTTGTTGGCACCTGATTGCCCAGCCTTCACTTGCAACTCAACGGTGGCTATGCAGCTCATTTGCTTCTACAGTCGGAGTGCGATGTTGAACCAGAGAAATCCCGAGATAGCAGAGAGGGTTTGCACACGCAATTGTAGACTGTCGACCCGCCTGTGCCCTGCGAGAGGCTCACATCGTCAACGACCTCCTCCGTGAGTATGCTCCCTACGCTTATGGCTAGAGCCGCGGGAAAAAGAAGCTCGGGGGCTCAAGAACTAGTCCGAGACGCCAACTTGATCATCGTCCCCTGCAGCGTTGACATGATGCTTGGGGGTGTTGTTGCTGTCCTCGTTGCTGGGCTGGCGCGATTCCCGCTGTGCCTGCTGTCGCCACCGCTTGCTGCTTGCTGTAGTCGTTTATTGCTCTTGCTGCTATCCTCATTGTTAGGGCCGCGGCGGCTGCTGCCGCTCTCGTTGTGGTTCTTGTTCCACAAGCAGACTCTGAATCTTGCAAGGCAAAACTTCGGCTCCGAGATCGTGTGAACTCGATTGCCCCCCCACAGTTCCTGTAAAGCCCTGCAGTGACGCAGGCGGACGCCGAAAGTTCCGAGGCCGTCCGGAAGGGTTTCGCTTCTTTGGCCCCAGCAGCTCTGAACCGTAATTCCTGAACTGCAAACCCGGTACCCTAAACCCCAACCCGGAGCTATGGCCAGGAGTGCTCGCCTTCGCAGCTACCGCATTGTGCAGAAGCTGTGGACAGCCCAGCTTTCAACGTCAAAAAGCCTACCCGAAGCACTAGAAGAACTTCAGACTACAGCGTCTCGTCGCATCCTCGCATAGAAGCCATCGGTATTTCGTTTGGAGGCGCACGAACTCCATGTTTGGGGTGAGAATGCTCGAGACTTCTTCGACTGAAAGTGAAACGATTCCACGAAAAGCGAGGTGGCCTCACTGGCGTCCTTGGATGGCTTGGCAGACTACCTCCTGGTGCGCTTTAAACCTTGGAAGCCGAAGCACTCACACAAAAGTCTGCAAGGCCTCAGGTAGTAGCTGGTTTCAGCAGCTTCAATGCTCCAATACCGACATTATCCGTGTTTCGTAAGAGTGCCGGTGCCAGCGTTTCAACAATTCCTTGCTAGACTCCTAGACCTCATACCCAACAACCAAGACGGCAGCCTTCAGCCAGCAGGGCCTTTCACGTTCTGTGGTTGTTTGTGCGTTTTCGTACATAATATGTGTACGTGTACGTAAATGTACATGTAGGAATGATGACTTTACGTCTCTCTCTCTCAATATGTTTAGTATGCATATATGTATGTGTATATATATATATACACATCCATATGTAAACGTACACAGCGAGTCAGATATACGATATATGTAAAATGCTATGTTCTTGCAGTAAGGTGTCTTGTACCGTGCATGGTCTTTAGCTTTTGTATATTATATATATATATAGTGGAGGGAGTAAATACTGTTTCTCTTTACTCTTCTATCTATCTGTCTATGTATCTATCTGTCTGTCTATCTCTCTATCTCTCTCTGTCTCTGCCTCTCTCTATCTCTCTCTCTCTCTCTGTCTCTCTATCTGTATCTGTCTGCCTCGCCGTCTGTCTATCTATCTATCGATCTAAACCGTATCTATCTTTATATCCGGCCTTGAGCCGCCCCTCCTCGCCTTCGACGCTGCAGGAGGCCTTTGCCCAGGGCGCGGCCCGGCCCAACCCGCAAAGTCTGGCCAGGTTCCTCGAAGAAAATTACTACCCATGCTCCTATTCGTCTTATTCTTCATCATTACCATAATTGCCAAGATCACCGACATTATTTACGCCATCGACATCGCCAACATCGTGGTCATTTTAGGCATCATCAGCATCATCGAATACTTTGTTTTTTCAAAACCCCGTAGGACTGGCACGCATAGATTTGCCGACCTCTGCCTCCGAAGTCTGGAGCGTTGCAAGTTTGACCTGCCGTTTTTGCACAGCTCAAACGACAGCATCTTCCAGCGTGTACCAGGCTTGGCTGGGCCCCAGCTGCGGGGGCACTCCTTACTTCTGAAGAGGACGGAGGCCGCAACATGATGGCATGGATGATGCAGCTTGCATGGATAATGCAGCGGATGACGATGATGAGGATGATCATGTCAGTGAAGATTAAGAGAGTTTGCGATCGTTATCGTCATATTTCAATTACTCGTCATCATGGTACTAGTTACTCGTGGACATAGTCTTCAGAGTATACGTAGCTGCATTCAGTGTTAGTGCCAGTCGTCGTTCTCGTCGTTGTCGTCGTAGCAGTGGTAGCAGAGGGCGCATCTGTTGTGATACCCCATGTATCTCACTCGGGAACAGAACCTTACCGCGCGTCAGCCCCGAAAGCTTCAATTGTTGGTCCTGTCTGCCAAACCGTCCTGAGAGACCTTCAGGACAGCGAGAGTGAGCAACCAGCCTAAGTTGCGCCCTTGAGCTCCGCAAGGTGCCTTCGAGCTCGGCGGGGGCTCGGGTGCCGGCTTCCAGGCTCGGTAGTGTGCTGTTTCTCATGTCGTGCTCTAGCCATTAATTTGCGTGGCTCGTGCAAACATGCACACATTGCGCATTGCTCACGGAAGCAACGGCGCAATGCTGTGGCACACACTCACATCACCCGCAAAAGCCCGACTGACCCGTGTTTTGACAAGGACCCGTGCCTGAGTACTACTACCTTCTGCCCCTTGGAAGGTCATCTGCGAGGATCGAGGGATCGCCACACTTGGTGGAGGTGCCTTGTCACCAGGGAAGGGCAGATTTAAAGGGCGTTCGGTCATGAAGGTTCTTGTTGTGGGCATCTCGAGGGCTGGCAAAGGTCACGCTGTTGACTGATGAATTGTTCGATTGATTGAACGATTGATGAAATGGTTTATTGAGTGAGGGATGGAATGATTCGTTGGCTGGCTGGCTGGCTGGCTGACTGATGATGATGATGATGATGATGATGATACTGACGATGCTGCTGCTGCTGCTGCTGCTGGTGAGGATGTTGATCACGGTTATTACAATGTTGATGATGAAAAAGTTTGCGGCTGCTGCTGTTGCTGAGTGCTGATGCAAGTCATAAGATGATCATGGTTACCGTGATGATGAATGCTGCTGATGATGATGATGGTGGCAAAGATGGTCTTATGACGATGACGGAGATGACGACGACGGCGACGACGACGACGCTGATGATGATGGTGATGCAGAAGACGAGCGTTTGTTGGCATGTTGACCATCATGTTCGGCGAAGGCGACCAACATGATAGTTGTGGTGGTGGTGGTGATGATGGCTATGACGATGAACAGGGCGATGGTTGTGTGCCATGACTGATGATGGCGATGGCGAGTTTGACCATGATTCTAGCGATCCTGGGTGTGGTGAAGATGATGAGAGGGACTCTTGCAATAGCGGCGGTATCATGGGTAATGACAAACCTGGTGATGATGGTGAGGATTATTTCGATGGTGCTAACGATGGACGGCGACGACGGCGGCGACGATCGTTGTGATGTCAATGACAACGCCGACATTGATGTCGCTGGGGACGACAGTGGTGCCGCAGACAGTTTGATTGCTGCTAATTCACTGTTAATGGTTGCGACAATGATGATTATGCTGATGTTGATGCTGATGTTGACAACGGTGCTCGACGAGAAGGAGGAGGACGACACCGAGAACCGTGACCAAGAGAAGCAAACATATGACGACCAGGACGACCGACGAGTATGAGGACGAGGATGATAACGAGCGCGACAACGAGGACAGTCTCGACGACGATGACGATGGCCACGACGATCAACAGACGTAAGCGGAAGAGCAGATCAATAACACTACTATGACGAAGATAATGATGATGATGATGATGATGAGGGTGAGGTTGCTGCATGTTTGGTGTCAGGGCTCGAGATCAGTAGCCTCGCTTTTGTCGGCCTGCGTGGTGTCTTCATGTAGGCGGAAGCCGAGCTCCGACAACATTCGTCTACTAGTAACTATTCCGACTACCATGCGCTTCATGATGACCCTAGCGGCTTGATGGTGCATCGTGGTTCAGGACCTGAGGCTTAGCTTTGAGAGAACTGCTCACGAATCTCGCTCGTTGCTCATATACAGTATGCAGAATCGAACCTATTGAAAGCATTAAGCCCCCTTAATAACACCGAAACCAAGACATGCAGAGCCTTCGCAGGCGGCGGTGGCGGTGCCTTCGGTTGGATGAAACCTTCCGAGTCGTCTGGATCAGGCCATTCACGGTTCCGGATTAGGGTTTAGGGGTTAGACTTTGGGATTTCATGGTTGTCATTACTTCGGCTAGTATTTTTCTTTTTCCGCCTGGTGTGTTGTGTAATTTCAACGCTACGCCGCCCGCCTCGGCTTGCCGGAGACCGGCACGGTGACAGAATGAGAAGAAGGTGGGAGGGAGAGGGGCAAGGGACGGAGGGGCAGGGCAGCGCAGGGGCCGTTAGGGGAGGGCAGAAAAAGCAGATAAAATAAAGGGGGGCCGGGCGGGGGTGGGGTGGGAAATGAATGCAAAAAGCGGCTGTCTCCAAACTTTCGGACTGCATTGAGGAGGATTAGGTGGAGGGTACCTGAGTTAACCCCCAATACGCCTGGGCCTGCGGCCTCGGCGGATTAGACTTGGGACATGCGCAAATAACAGTCAGTCACGGTCCACAAGAGAAACGCTTTGCAACACATGGAATTTCATCCAAGCCGGAGGCACGCGCGCCGTGGCTGGGTGCTCAGACGAGTTGATCACACTGCTCTTGTCCAGCAGAGGGTTTTCCGTTTTATATAGAGTTCTTGGGCTGGGGCTTGAAAGGCGGGAATCAACGAGCCTTACGCCGTGATAGAACTCGTTTGAGCAAGGAAGCATGTTTGGTCATTATCCGAAACCGCATGTAGCTCCACAACCTCGAACTCCTACGAAATGCGTGCAGGAGGAGAACGAGACAGTTGGAGGCTACACCCCTGCTTCCAAACTGGGGTTTTGCCAAGACAGGGTCGGTCGAGGGGAGTCGAGTCGTAGTCCTTTCTTGGATGAGAATTTTGAAAGGGAGGATGCGAGTCATTGGAGGGCTTATGGTTCAGGGAAGGCCTCTGGAGGAGTGGAACCTGTTGCATGTGATACGACAGGATACGACAAGGGCGGCGCTGCCAATAAATCCCGGCAGCATGCTATGTGTGCCACCTCCGGTGGCGTAAGCTTATGATGCTTGTCACTACAGCTACTATGATCACTCTTTGGTTGGGCATCATATCTTCTGTTCTTACTCATCTTCTCGTCCGGTGGAAGTAGCAGCGCCGGTAGCGGCAATCGTCACGAAGATCGCATTGGCACGGACGCGAGCAACGGCGCACGCTAGCAAAAGCAAGTCATAATCCTCACCTCGACGTAACCTCACTTGTGACCAACCCCGCGACTCACTATAGAATTATAGCAACGCCATAGTCGCACAAGCAACCGGAGAAGTACTTCCAACAGAAGGCCTGTGAACATGAATGCCGCTAGCGAGAGGAAGATGCTCCGGAGAATCATGGAACAACGACGAGACAAGACCTGTTAAGACAGAGCTCCCTCTTCTTATGCCATGCCTACGTCATGAAAACTGAAGCCTCCAGCTGTCGACAGTGTCGAGGCTCATCGAAGTATTGGCTCACAGACCGAAGTTCTCAGCTGCCCCCCCCCAGGTCGGGAAACGATGCTGCGGCATCTCTGAAGCCACAAACCCCTCGGTCCTAAATCCAGCACCGAGTCAACTCTCATGCCATTCCCAGAATCGCAGGCGGAGCCGGAGGCGGGATGCAGATTTTCTTCCCTGCCAACGTGACCGGTCGGCCATGGGAGGCCCCACTTTTTGATTGCGAGGGCCCGCCGTTACAAGGGTTTCGGAAATGACAGCAACTACGAGGACGACTGGAACGACCACGACGACTGCACCGGTGGCGGCTACTAGACTAGGCTAGACTGTTTGCTTTTTCTACGACCACTACTACTACTACTACTACTACTACTACTACTACTACTACTACTACTACTACTACTCCTACTACTACTACGACTACTACTACGACTACTACTACGACTACTACTACGACTACTACTACTACTACTACTACTACTACTACTACTACTACTACTACTACTACTACTACTACTACTACTACTAGTACTAGGACTAGGACTAGGACTAGGACTAGGACTAGGACTAGGACTAGGACTAGGACTAGGACTAGGACTAGGGCTAGGGCTAGGGCTAGGACTAGTACTAGTACTAGTACTAGTACTAGTACTAGTACTAGTACGACGACTACGACGACTACGACGACTACGACGACTACAACTACGACTACGACGACGACTACGACGACGACTACGACGACGACTACGACGACGACGGCGACTGCTACTGATTTTACTACTGCTACTGCCTTAACTGCAGGGACAAGTGTTGCTGTGATTTGATGACACTGACATGCTCTTCTGTTGTTCTTCCGTATTCTCCGAGCCAGGAGGATGCGTATACTTATACTGTTTGCGGTATGGCTGGGCCGGGCACAGTCGAGCTTGGAGGTTTCTCAAAATGGACGAACCACGCTGTTTTCGGGTTCAGGTGTGGACTCGCAGTCTCGACCTGTCCCGACGGGAATACCAGGCAACAACTAATCTTTTTGGGTACATTCGAAGGAGTTGTAGAACGGAGCGGGAAATCCCTGTGCTCTGAGAGCCGAAGCCCTCAACGCCTCCCGTTAGCCTTCAGGCGGACCACTGGATTTCGTGGGGATCTGGAGGAGGCCACGGCTGCAACCTGCCTGGAATTTAGCCGGCGCCGGCGCACTTAAGGCGTGGTTCAGGGCTGAGGCTATGTGAATGTGGGGGAGTGGAGCTTAGGTTTGTGAGCTGAAGCCGTAAACTTGGAGTGGAGACGCTGCTGCGCGTTCTCAGACTCCGAGGTGGTTCTTGCAAGGCCGGCGACACATTTTGCGAGGTGCGGGCCTCAGGAGTTGCCATCCCCAAACCTTTTGTCCAGAGAATCGGGAAAATGGTGATGGTCCATTGATGGTGTTGTCCTCAAGCTTTTCGTTAGTGTAGTTCTGGTGGTGATGGCTTTTCGGGGACGGTGATGACGTTGCCTTTGAAAATCTTCACTTGTTGTGAGCATCCGCTGTTGTTGTAGCATCACGCTGGTGACTTTGATCTGGGCCATCCTGGTCAACATCGTGTTGGGGAGACCCCGAAGTGCACCCTCCGCGTGGCAAGCTGAGATTGCAAGACCTGTCGCGCCGGGTACGGAGTGTTGTTTTCAAGAGAGCAGCTCTGCCGGCTTCGAGGTTTCAGGCTTCCGGGTTTCAGGGACCCTACTGGTAACATCTACCTCGGCTCTTCCGAGCTAGCACGAGGCGGCTTAAGATCCCGGCACGAAGGGCGGAGCCGAAACCCCAAAGAAGAGCCTCCAGACTGCGACGGGCGACCAGCAACTTTAATTAGGGCAGGTGCGAAGCATTGTTTCTCTCTCTCGGACTTGGACCTGTAGCACACAGATATGGTCAGATGTGGGCATGAGCAAAGAACACTAGTTGCTTTGTGTTGGAGCAGACAGGGTGGGCAAGTGGGAGCCGTGCGATTGAAGCTCGCAGAGCAAGGTTTAGCGTAGAGTCTAGAGTTCGGGATCATGTTGGAGTTCCGCGCCAGAAACCCACTTCCCGAAGACACTTCAAGCCCAGTGTGGTTCAGGAGTCGCCGCTACGAATCACTTGCGGAGCAAAGCTTCTGGGGCACAATTTGATCCTCGTTTGGTGAGTAGAGTTGCAGAGTTTGCTCTCTTGTGCGCGTCGGGATTTGATTGAGTGTGTGTCTACCTTTGTCATGGTAACCGAGAGCCTGAAAGAATTGACCATCCAGTCAGTGTTTGGGAGCATCGATCACATGGATGTTTGGATGGTCTGCTGGTAGGGTCGTGATATCACGAGGAAGGTCTTGAGGGTTCCATCATAACAGAAGTTTGCCACCAACTGTCCAACAGAGAACCTCGCTTGAACAGCCCCTGTACTCCGCCCTCCCCACGGATCCGGTTCTGTGGACTGCTCTCTCATGGGAAGATCGGCATTTTTGCCTGACGCCCGGAGCCCGAGGCAGTCCCGAATTCTGTGAACTGCTCGAGCATGTTCTGAGCCATCAGAGACCCTGAAATTCAAAACCAAAGTTGAACTCCAAAAAACCCTTGCCAGCATCCTGAAGCCCTTCCGCGATGTCTCCTTGGGTGATTTGTGGGCCAGGATGGACGATAACGGGGCGGTTGGCAGGACCGCTGGTTACCAGGCCGCTTGATGTTTCGCCTGTGAGCCTCCCTCCACGTGTGGACAGACAACAAAAGCGCTTCAGAGAGCTTCCGTTTTTCTGTTGTTTTGAGGTCTGAGAGGACCTTGAGTTCAGGGCTTTGCAGTTGGAGTGTGGTTTGCAACGCCGACTGTTCATGACAGACATAAATCAGCAAAGAACTGTGCCCGAAACCCAACACCACCATACACGTTAGCTGTAGCTGGTCAAGCTGTAGCACTGTAGCTCTGTTGTGGCTTCTCAACAGTTGGGATTGAGGATGTCTTCGTTTCATAACAAATGTATAGCATGGCTGATGCTGAAAACAGGGTCTGCAGCATCCGCGTCGGTACATTCAGGATAGGCAAAGTTCCAGTTTCAACTGCCTACGATGAGATATCATACTGCGTTGTGTTGCAACATCGAATGATCGCACTTTCAGCCAGTCACATTGAGCAAGGGCCTTCTTGTTGGAAATCTCTTTGCCGGAAACTTCAACACTTGGACTTACCAAACCGTCTGCAGGCGGTGAGGAACTGGCGCGAGGGCGCTCGCGGCCCAGCCAACTCGAAGAGATCGGCGGGGTCAGGTTTCCGGAGCGGGAGGATTGAAGAGGTTCTACATTTTTGAGGTGCCTCAGGCTACAAAGCGTGAAGGACTGTGCACTTCCTAAATGTTCTGATCGCCAAGCAAAAGCATGTTGTCATTTTCGTTGAAACGATGGGAAGAGGATACACGCACATGGTTTTCACTGAACAGAATGCGCCTCCCCAGGTCCTTGACACGAAACCTCCGACAGTCTGTTGTAATCCGGAACCATCACAAAACAAGCTGCCCCAGGTCTTACGGAGCTGTTACGATGCCGGCAAGCTCGCGGTCATCGGCGGCGGTGGTGGTGGGGCCAGGACCTCGCATGCCAACGACGACTACGACTGCTATCAGCACCTCTGCTGCTGCTACAACAGCATCTACTGCTACTGCTACTGCTCGTGCTGCTGCTACTGCTACTGCCGCTATAATACTGCGGCTGCTGCTTCTCCTGCTACCACTACTACTGCTGAGCTATGCTGATGCTGCTGCTGCTACTACTGCTACTGCTGCTACTACTGCTACTACTACCACTCCTACTACTACTGCTACTACTACTGCTACTACTAACGCTACTACTACTACTACTACTACTGCTACTGCTACTGCTACTGCTACTGCTACTGCTACTGCTACTGCTACTGCTACTGCTACTGCTACTGCTACTGCTACTGCTACTGCTACTACAACTACTACTGCTCCTGCTGCTGCTACCACTGCTGCTATTACTACTACTACTACTACTACTACTACTACTACTACTACTACTACTACTACTACTACTACTACTACTACTACTACTACTACTACTACTACTACTACTACTACTATCTACTACTACTATTACTACTACTACTACTACTACTACTACTACTACTACTACTACTACTACTACTACTACTACTACTACTACTCCACCACGACTACTGCTGCCACGGCTACTGCTGCTGCTACTGCTAATGCTGTCGCCGCTGCTGCTGCGACTGAGACGATGCGTAGTACGACCACCATTACACTCATTACACCTGTACTATCACTGCTCCTGCACTGGATCAATGTTTTGCGCTGGATTTGCAGGTGCAGGATCTAGCAACCAATCGCCAGCATTCTCTAGGATTTGCACTGTCAGCGGGTTATGGGTGGTCTTTCACCTACGGACGGCATCGTTTCTCTTTGAAGACGTGGGGATTCCCGCTTCCCGTGATAGTAGCCTACAAGCAGACGGCTGGACTCCCGGACACAACCAAACCCAAACTCAAGTTTCGCAGCCCCCGGCCTCCCATCCGAGAGTGTGACGCCCGCATCCAGAGACGACGACCACCCAGGCAGGCGCTGCCCGATGCTGTGCATCGATACCGAGGCCCATGTCATCATGACATACAGCCCAGAAAAGCAGCTGGCTAAAGGACACTGCTGTTGCTGCTGTGCTGAGTAGCGGTTGTTGATTTCGAAGAGCGATGGGTTTTAGTTTCAGATGTACGGCTGCGTAGATCTGCATGGTTGACTGTACGACTCAGAGCGTAGTTGTCTAGGGCTCAACGCCTCTGAGCCCCGATGCTCCAACTCGCTAAAGCTTTCAGCAGCCTGCGGCAACTCCAGACCGTAAATCTTCGACACTTCACCCGAAACCTTCGGCCTGCACTTCTTAAGCACCTGAAGTATGTGCTGGCCTCAAGCAAACCCTGATTTAATCATCAAGCCCGAAGCTATTGGCTTTGCATGGCCTGGAACTTTGGCCAGCGGCGCTTTGAGCCTCTCCTGGGCCGCGAGGTTCGACACCTCTCTCTCTCTCTCTCTGTCTCTCTCTCGCTTTCTTTGTGCATCTGTGTCGCAGTGTCCGATACCCGATAGGAGTTTGAAGGCTTGAGGCCTTTTGGCTCTTGATGTTAGGTATTGCATTTGTCGGCATGCCTGACTCACAGCTACGGAGCTGCAGGGGCTTCAGGGTTGAGTGCCTGCGAGTGTCGGGGGCTTTCGGACTCAGAGGTCTGGAGTTTCGGAGTTCATTTTTTGAAGGCACGGTCATGCAGCTTGTCATTAAAAGCCTAAACCTACAGGGGTTCAGACAGCTGACCTGATCAGAAGGTTTGAGGTTCAGGGACAGCATCCGTACCTTGTTGTCGTCGATGAGGTTGTCCCGCATATGCGGCGATGCAGGTCTTCGCGCTGTGTGCCCGCAGCGGACGCCGGTATTCCAGGTCCCTTGGGGTTGTCTCTGAGTGCAAGAGACTTCCTGTCCGGGGCAAGAGCCAAGACCCAAGCATGTCATATGCCATTGACGGTTTTGACGTCACATGCCGTGCTCCGATATGTTGTTATGTGTTCTTGTGCTGTGTTCTTCTATGTACTGTGCCTGAGTGCACTGCGCCATATTCAATTCTAGGGGCTGCGCCCAGGTGCGGGCAGCGCGAGTTGTTGTCAGCGGATGTAGCGGGGGAACGGGAAAGACACGGTCAACATTTCCAGACGGTGCCGAGACAACGACAGCTCGACACCGGAACAAAAGTGTGACGTAAGCCCGAAGTGCACAACTTATGGGTGATCTTACGCTCTTAGCCCTCGTCGGCCCTCCATGTAGCCCGCATCCGCCCTCCGCCGGACCCCGCTGATGCTGATGATGCGCGCCCTTTTGGGGCTTCCGCAACCCACGCAAAAACTTGGAAATCATCACTTCGCGCCGCGGGGCCGGTTGCGGGCGCCCGAGTGCTCATGATGCTCGCCGGCTCGCCTCCTGGGGTCGTCCACGGCGGCCCCGAAACCCGCCATGCCGTGGGGAATGGCTGCGAAGCGCGTGCGCGTTCCGAGACGCCTCCGGGCCCGGGCCCGCGCGGCCCGATGGAGAAACGGAGGTCCGATGATGCGGGGTCGGCGGCGGGTCGGCGGCACAAGCCGTCGTGGCTTTTGCTTCGCAAGAGAAGGCAACTCGTCTGAGCCATAGCTCAGTCCATACAGGGCAGCGAAGCGCTGCCCGATTTAAGAGCCTCCGGCTCAAGCCGACGACCCCGTGGGCGACAGACCAGAAGCCGAATGCACTTGTACAGGCAAAGTCGTTTGGTGTCCGCGAGGCCCGTAGGTTTAGTTCTAGAAGGAGACGCCAAGATGGGAAGTGCAAACAAAGCCTTACCGCAGGACCTAAACCCGAAACCTAAACCGTCCTGAAACCCTATGTTCAACACCTTTAGAACCGTTTAGGGTTAGGGTTTCAGGAACATTTTCTCAGTGGCTGGGTATCTTATCCCATAGCTTCTGTAGGAACGGTCTGTGGTGCCCCTGCGCTTCGATGACCGCAGCATGTTTTATGTCTGAGGGTTCCGGCTGCATAAAGAACCGCGTCGAACAGCACAAAGCAGGGGCAGCACGAGTTCAACCTGGTTTCCCCGCATGCTACCTCTGTCGAAGGCCGCTGAACCTTAAACCCTAAAGGAACAAGAAAGACACATTCTTGGCGACGAGTTCAAAAAACGGGCGCCAGTTTTTGTGCGCCAGTTTTGAGCCGCTACTCGCAGTCACAGTGGTCCTAAACCCTCAAGCCGACAAGCTTCACTGGTGCGCTTCTAAGATTGTGAGACTAAGCGGGAACCTTCAAGTTGACAAGCTTCGCTGGTGCGCTTCTAAGATTGTGAGACAAAACGGGGGGAAGAGGCGGAAGCACGCGAGGCTGCGCGACGATCACGCGAAGTAGGAACAAGGAGCACTCTGGAGCGGAGATGCCAAGGTTGAAGAGGAAGAAGGGGGCAAGGCGGGTGGGGGGGGAAAGGGGGCGGAAGGGGGAGGGGGGGGAGGGGGGGAGGCGGGCAGGAGGGGAGGGGGGGGAAGGGGGGGGAGGGGGGGGGTGAAACCATAAACCTCTAAAGGGGTAGCTCTAACAGGTACCTACAGCAATGGCTGCATGCTCATACATATACATTCCGCTGCCCATTGGCTCACAGTGGTTTTACCATATTGAGACAAGACAAGCTCTCCTTGCGTAGCAAGACAAACCAACTACTGTCCGTGTGCAGGGCGCTGCCCTTTGATCCTTAGGGAATAACTGGTCATACACCTCCTCACAAGGAGTATCCCTTGGGGGTGTAGCGGCACAGTTTTCTGGTAGCGGAGCCCGGAAAGGGCCGCCCGCCTCACAAAGTCCGCTACAGCGGTCGGCCTCGCCGAACGCTTAACCAAGCGGATAAGAGGCAGCACAATGTCGAGCTCGCATAGCGAAGACGACGGCAGTTCCCAGTCCTCCGGGGGATATGAGAACGAAGAGACCTCCCAAGGTCCAGCTACTTATGTCGCACAGTCATATGCAACATCTGACCGCATGCTTGCATCAGTAGGCATAACGCCCAAGATCGCGCCTGCCTATGATGGCACCACCTCGTGGTTTGAGTATGAACAGTTGATTGACGACTGGTGCGACATAACAACGCTGGATGACACCAAAAGAGGTCCGTCTCTCAAGACGAGGCTCTCCGGATTGGCCGCAGTACAAAAAGAATCACTAAACCGAGAAAGGCTTGCAGCCCCAGATGGAGTAGATTACTTCAAGAAGAAGATGCGTCCATTTTTCGTGTAATTAGAACAGTACGTTTTCCTGTGGCGTTTCCTCGGCCTATTCAAGGCATGGAAGGGCAACCAAGACTTTGTGACTTGGATTGCTAAGTTTGAGATCGTGCTACAGCGCGTGAGAAACTCATGGATGGATCTCTTACCAGAGATAGCTCTGGAAGATGCCCATCCAGATTTCATGCAGGCTGTGCAGGCAGATCAAACCTTCTTGCGCCTACAGGATGCAACCGAGAGAGACACATACGCCGCACGTTTCGTCGAAACATGGAACAAGGAACGCCTTGATAATCATCGAAGAGCGTTTCCTCTAAATGATAATCTCCTAGCTCTACTCTTCCTAGTGCAGTCCGACCTAAATGAGATGCAACGTGAGAGGTTGGTAACAGCATTGACCAACCAAGGTTACCGAATTGAGACCTACACGTACCCTGTGGTACGGCAGACCATGTTCGATCAGTTCTCAACGACCAGAACTGGTCTGCAGGATCCCAACATTCGGCACTCTTCTCACAAGACGGACCGCCATGGAAGGAGAGACCAACGCCGCAAACGCGGAGGTCGAAACTTCCTCATCCTCGATCAGGGTGAATACGATGGAGTCGATGGATTCTGGCTCCAAGACGAAGACACCCTTGAGGAAGGCTTTCTTGCCGCCGAGGATGAAGAAGCTGTCTTCTGGACAGTTGACGACAATGAAGCCTTCGTTGCAAGGAGATTCAAAAAGGGAAGAAGACCAAGAATGCGTCCCGGATCACCGGGAAGAGCACAGGGTGGCAAGCGAAAAGGACGTGGCCGTTTTAGGTCATACCGCGGAAAAGGGAGAGCCAACCAGGCAGAACATGATCCAACTGATTCCAGCTATTTCGGTAAAGGTAAAGGAAAGGAAAAAGGGAAAGGTGGAAAAGGCAAAGGAAAAGGAAAGGACAAAGGAGATAAAGGAAGCTCCTTCAAAGGTACAAAGGCAAAAGGCAAAGGTAAGGATACAGCTAAGTCTGCCTCCTTACAAGGAGACCAAACTGGATCTCCACAGGCCTATGAAAGTTCCACCGCACCGAGCTGGGATTCATGGTATGAGGCCAGTTATTATACTGACTCCAGTTGGAATTATGCCGCTTATGACGATCAAACGTCTTATACATACTATGCATCACAAGCCTCACGAAGAAAGACACGGAGAAAGAAGAGAAGAAATCAAGCAGGATAATCAGGTAGAGGCACAGATCCGAGCGCGCACCAAGAACCCGTGTACAACTCATCAGTGAGTTACGTGCCCCAGGTCTCTGAACCATCCGAGGGGCAAGGTGTGGAGACTGCAACAGCAGTGTTTCCGTTGCAGCACACCGTCCTATCTGCTCTCACAGAGCGGATCAATCTGGATAAGAGCCCTACCTTTGTCATACTTGACTCTGGTTGTACTAGGGCTATGGGTTCCCGCTATGCGGTGAACAGGCTTATCAAGGCCGTGAAGCAACGTGCCCCAGGCATGATTGACTTCACTTTCTCACCTTCGAACACGAAGTTCTCTTTCGCAGATAGTGAAACAGCTCTTATCAAGGAGCGTGTAACTCTATGGTTCAACACAACTCCAAGAAGAGATACAACCATAGAAGTTCTGGATCAGGGGAGAGTTCCCATTTTGTTCTCCATTGAACAGATGAGAAATCTAAGAATGACCCTCGAGTGTAGTCCCACAGCTGACCTAGCAACGTGTGAAGCTTTCGGTTTGTATAAAACCCCTCTTCCGATTAGTACCAATAGCCATTTGGTATTGGACCTTCTAGGCTTTACTTCCACCAGGAAGTATCTCCCTAAGTCAGGTACGTCGTTCAGTGCGACGGAGACTGCTCTAGGAGCCAAGAAGCCCTATATTAGGATACCGGAAGGTCGCTGTCCAGCCTGTGCCGGACAGAAAAAGGCTCACACGTATCTCAAGGGTTGCGACAAAGCACCTGAGGGAGCAGCTGATCCACCACCGAAGAGGATTTCAGGGAAAAAGAAGCCTCTTCCATCTGATCCGGCAGAATCATCTGCCAAGAAACTTGATCCACCAGAACCATCTGGTGATGTTCCTGAGCCTTCCGGACCATCGGAACCATCATCAGGTTCTAGGGACAAACCTGCAGAATCCTCTGCACCACATGAACCTCCAGAAGAAGAAAGACTTGAGGTCCCACCTGCAAAGATACAGACTCCAAAGGGTCTTAAAAACCTTCTGAAGAAATCCCGCAAATATGCGGTTAAATCTCCTGTTGAAGAGAAGTCTAAGGTCCCAGGAGCTGATGACGGTACGGAGGTAAGACCACTTGAGTCAAGAGAATACCCGGCTCCTGGTACAGACTCACCTACAGGTGAAGAGATTGTCGCAGAACCATCGCCATCTCTTCCAATCGCTCTTCGCAGGATTCATGAGAAGCTTAAGGACCCTGTAGAACTTTATAAGCTTCACCTCAAGCACCGTCATATGAGTACGGATCAGTTCAAGCGACGCACAAAGGCCTTACAGATCCCAAAGGAGATCTACGAGCTATATGACCAACTGGTCAAAAAGTGTTCAGCCTGCCAGGAACATGTGAGAGCTCCTTCGAGAGCGAAGATTTCTGGTTTACGATCAGAGACTTTCGGTGATCTCACCTTCGTAGATCACGGT